AAAAATGCCCCAAATAGCCCCCAGACTATATAGGATTATTTTTGGATTTTTATTTGATGTTTAATGTATATTTTCTGGGTTATTTAGGATAATTTTCGGATTTGATTTGTGGGGTACTTTTTTAGTTTTTCGTCGAAAATCCCCATGTAGGGGGACAGGCCCGACTTAGGTCTGGACTGACCCTAGTCAGAAGATGCCCGGCCTGGGCCTGCTGCGGGGTCTGCGGGCGGGCCTGGGGGCCTGCCCGGGCCGTGGCTCCCGAGGGGGCCCAGGGCCGTGAGCTTGCGAGCGGAGAGAGAGAGAGAGAGAGAGAGACACCGCTTCGGAGGTGGATAGGCCTCCTTAAATTAGTAGCGCCAGCGCGTCATTCCCACTTCTTGAATTATTCCAGACCGAGATCGCCCAAACTGGAAGATGACAGGATTGCGACGCGCTCGCAGCAATGACGGCTGTCGGTTCTTGAGCCCGCGCCGCTGAAAAACGGCCAATCCTTTCATTACCCTCCTCCACCTCCTCACCTCTGTTGTTTGGGCCTTCGTGGAGCGAGCCAAGCAGACAGGTGGGGGACGATGTAAAAGGTCCAGCCATGCAAGCAAAAAACAAGCATGTGTACAGTGCGGGCGCGGCCGCAAAAAAACCTTCGCAAGAAACCCGACCCTGAAAACCCGCGCGCGAGGCGCACCAGAGGGGGGACCCGGAGCACCCTGAACGCAGCAGCTCCTTCGACGGCCGCGGGAAGTCGCCGCGCAGCGCGAAGAACGAAGAAACCGAGGATACCCTGACGAAAAGCATATGGTTTCTTGATGCGCGCCCCCACTGTAGACCTCCTACCCTGACACGTCGACTAGTGAATGTGCCGTTTTCGGTTCGCGAGAGGGCGTCGCGGCCGTCATTTTGTTGTGGGTCCAGGTCCGTCGGTTTTGGTCTTAGGTTGTTTTTTCATAAGGGGAGGTTTGCTAAAAGGAGGTCTGTCCACCGCCGAAGCACAGGCTTGTGGACAGGAGGTGGCAAAACGCTGCACCGGACAGCGCGCACCACACAGCTCACTGCACGTCGCTCGCGCCGCACTGCCTGCACCCGCTGGTCTACACACCACACAGTTTACATACGCCACCGAGTTGGCACCGCGTACATTCGTCACACAGCAAAGCACCACGTTTAGGATGTTCCAACCTATTTTAACTTTGATCACCAGAAAGAATTGCGAGCACCAAGAAAGTGTCGAAACTGGAGAGGTTTCATGTGTCGGGCACTGGGAGGCGATGCTCGTTCGACACTGTTTCGATACTTTCCTGCGTGCTCGAAATTGTTTCTAGGATGTGGTCCTTAAGCACGATGGGAACAACATGACACCACGCAGCGTTCTACCTGCAGGCTGCACCAAAACGTCGACACGTCCACAGTGCAGCAGCTCACTGATTGCTGTCCTCGCAGGCAGAATCGTGCAACATGTTTGGTTTTGTTCCTGGGCGCCCGGGCGCGAGAGTCATGGGCAACGACAGAGGGGGGATAGGCATAGAGGGGGACGCATCGACCCCGAATCGCCCATTGATCGCCGACAGGGGTCTGATAGCCCCAACCCGCCCAGGATGGTGCGGCTTCACTATCGGGGGCCTATCGCCGATCTGTCGGCGATGTATCGCCGTTTCCAGGTCGATGCGCTTGGCATCGATCGGACGTGTGCTTTTTTCCTTCGGCGAGGACCATCGAGGAGCATCCTTGATCATTTGGCGAAAAAGCCACGCACGAAATCGGACAAAGCACAGGGAATCGACGTCCGAGCGATGGCCAGTGCGTCCTCCCCCCTTGTGCCAGTCCCCCCTTCCCTCGTTGCCCCTCAGAGGGGGGGGGTCGGCGGCTGCCGAAGCGCCGTTCGGAAGCCGGGCAAGGGCCGCTAACTCCGCGGCTGCCAGCATCGACCTCCTGGAGAAACTGTCTTCGTCCTTCCGGAAAGGAGAGCCCGTGGACTGCTTCGCGTGCCGCGCCTCCTTCCGGGAAGTCGTCTCTCTCTTCCGGGAGGGCCGTGTGTGCAGCCACGGTTTTAGCAGCCCTCGCCCAGCTTCCGATCCGTGCCGGCCTGCCGCTCGACGGCCCCCGCGTCGTGAGCCGTCCCTTCTCCTCCGGCCGCCCGGCCCCTCCTCGGCCCTCCCTCGCCCCCCTCCCCCGCTCCTCCTCCGGCCTCCTCCCTCGCTCTGTCTTCGAGTGGGAGATCGACTACAGAATTGATGTACCCACCCCAGGATGAGCATCCTCGTAGAGACCCTCCCTCGCCCCCCTCCCCCGCTCCTCCTCCGGCCTCTGCCCTCGCTCTGTCTCCGAGTGGGAGATCGACTACAGGATTGATTTACCCAGTGGAACAGAAAGTGGCACAAACATAAAAACTGCGAGGTCCGCGCGGACTTCTCGGATCGGCGCTGGGGCCCCCCGGCGGCGCCTCTGGCGCCGCCCCTGGCGCGCTCCGCGCGCCGGGGAGGGGGAGCGCCGATCCGAGAAATCCGCGCGGACCTCCGAGTTTTTGTATGCCACTTGTCGTTCCCCTATTACCCACCCCAGGATGAGCTTCCTCGTAGAGATCTGCCGGGCATGCTGCGTGCTCTCCGCAGACCGACGAGAGAATCGAGTTCGGGGTGAATCAGTCCTGGAGTCGATCCCCTGCTCGAGGCAGCCACGGGGCCTCGACAGGCTCAGTCGGGGTGTTGGGCGTGGTAGGTGTCGCGTCGAGGCCAGCAGCCAGGGGCCGGGAGCCTCTTCTTTCCCTCCTCCGCCTGCCCTCCTTGCTCGCTCCCGCCTTCCTCCTTCGCCCTCCTCGCCCGCCGCTCTTCGCTTCTCATTCCTTTCTGCCTCCTCACCCCTCTCCCTTTTTTTGTTTCTTTCTCTCTCTCTCTCTCTTTCATTCCACCTTTTTCTCCACCTCGCCCTCCTTCCCCACGCCGGCCCTGCCTCCGCTCGCCTTTCATCCTCCGCGATGATGAAGAAGATGATGATGACGATGATGATGATGATGATGATGATGATGATGATGATGATGATGATGATGATGATGATGATGATGATGATGATGAAGATGATGATGATGATGATGATGATGATGATGATGATGATGATGATGATGATGATGATGATGATGATGATGATGATGATGATGATGATGATGATGATGATGATGATGATGATGATGATGATGATGATGATGATGATGATGATGATGATGATGATGATGATGATGATGATGATGATGATGATGATGATGATCATGAGGATGATGAGGATGATGAGGATGATGAGGATGCGGATGGAGATGGTGATGGTGATGATGGTGGATTGCGATGGTGGCGGTGGTCGTTTCTTCCCCCGCGCTGGCCCACGAGCACTGAGCACTTGTGCAAGTGCCCCCCCCCCCCGCCCCCCTGTGCGGCCCCAGGCCCCCCCCCCCGCCCCCTCCTCCTCCTCCTCCTCCTTCCTCCTTCTCCTCCTCCTCCTCCTCCTCCTCCTCCTCCTCCTCCTCCTCCTCCTCCTCCTCCTCCTCCTCCTCCTCCTCCTCCTCCTCCTCTCAAGCAAACGGCCCAGGCCCTGTTGCAACATCTTTTGGCTCACTGGCCATGGCGCGCAGTGGACGGGAGTGAAACGACGGGGAGCTTTGTGTCGGCACGTCGTACACGTACCGCCGTGGGTGGTCGGGCAGAGGTGCCCAGCCTGACCGCGGCCCGTGGCTTGAGGGGGAGCTGAGGTTCAGCCGCTTAAGTACTTGGCATCGCTCGGACGTGTGCATTTTTCCTTCGGCGAGGGCCATCGAGGAGCACCCTTAATCATTTGGCGAAAAAAACCACGCACGAAACCGAAAAAAAACACAGGAAATGAACGTCCAGGCGATGGCGAGAGTACGAGGGCATCAACGGGACCATGATCGGCTTGAATTCGCATCAGCCGTGGGGTGCAGCATGGATCTCACCAGTGAGGATTGCAAGCTCACCCTGTTCACGGGTGCGGCCATCGACATTGGGTTGCCTTACTGCCATGGCGGTCTCATTTTTTTTGGTGGGCTCAAGCGCGTCTTTGGTGGAATTGGTCGTGCCGGCCGACCGTACGCTGAGCCGTGCAAAGTTTTTGAGCAATTCGGGTGGTGGTTTGGACAGACTGCCCTCCATGCTCAACGGGACGGAGCTTCACGGAGGGTGGCGGGCTGGTGCGAGAGAGGTGCACGCGATCGTCTCGCAGCGCCCCGCCTGGTTGGTCGTTTTCGTGATCTTCAGTGCCGTGCCGTTTTTTTCACAATGCAGGTATCTCCCAAGGCCGCCTGGGGAGTGTATCGAGGCTTCTGGTAAATGGGTTGGGTTCTCAAGTAGTTCAATTAAACGGATGTGACAAGAGCGCACGGGTGGCAGGTTGATGCGCGTGGTGTTGTCAGGGTCTGAGTTGCTGTTGTCTGCTTTCAGTGTGGAATACTGGCAGTACTGGTTGGTCGACCTGCCTTTGGAGCTGCCGAAGAGACGGCCACGTCGTCTGCTTTTCTGGATGTGGTATCTGGCATTCGCCTATCTCGCTGACGTCCACTGTTGCCACCTATGCATGCATCTCCCTCACACACAGGGATTGGAAGTTCGCTCTGAGGTTGTCAACTGCGCGGGAGAAGGCACGCGCGGGCGCCGACAGGAAACGCATCCCATTGAACGTTACCCGAGAGAGGACGTATCCTTATGCAGGCGGCTCTGTGTCTCGAGGGAGTAGCAGCGCCGTGAGAATGTCGAAGGCAACCCAAAGGCTATATGCACCAGAACTTGCACCTCTGATGCCGCAGGTACGGCGGCGGCCGAGCCGACCGTCGGGACCTCTTATCCTCTGATCCTCTGATCCTCCTCCTCCTCCTCCTCCTCCTCCTCTTCCTTTCTCCCTCCTCCTCATCCTCCCCCTCCCCCTCCTCCTCCTCCTCCTCCTCCTCCTCCTCCTCCTCCTCCTCCTCGTCCTCCTCCTCCTCCGCCTCCCCCCCCCTGGGCGGCCCCCAGGCCCTGCCTCTGCTGCAGTGCTCCTTCCTGGCCTTCGCGTGCACCCTGGCTGCCATCACCCTGGGCCTGCCGCCCTTCTCGCTCGCACACCCGTCGGGGAGGGGAGGCGGAGGAGGAGGAGGAGGAGGATGAGGAGGAGGAGGCGGAGGAGGAGGAGGAGGAGGAGGAGGAGGGGAGAAAGGAGGAGGAGGAGGAGGAGGGAGAAAGCAGGAGGGAGAAAGCAGGAGGATGAGGAGCAGGAGGGACAAAAAGAGGAGTAGGATGAGGATAAGGAGGAGGGGGAAAGGAGGAGGAGGAGGAGGAGGAGGAGAAGGAGGAGGGAGAAAGCAGGAGCAGAAGGAGGAGGACAAGGAGGAGGATGAGGAGGAGGGGGAGGGAGAGTGGCGGGGAGCATCGGGGCCCAAGAGACGGGGGTTAGTGCAAACGGGGGTCAGTCAGAGCGCCAGATCGGGCAGGATGCTGTACTTCGCCCCGGGGTTGCCCTGACCCAGGTTTGGGTGCAGGATCCCGCAGGATCCCGCCAGGATGTTGCAGGATCCTGCAGGGCCTGACGGATCCCGGGTCTGGACTGACCCGGGTCAGACGATCCCCGAGAGAGCGGGCGAAGAGTTTCGTGGCACAAGGCTGGGTGCTACGGTATACGGCGGAGCATTCTTGCATGGGGGCGCTGGCGTGTCGCACAGGCGCTTGGCGGGGCGCCATCGTTGTGCGCTCCTGGAGCTTCAACATACCAAGGGCGGATGAAGGAGGTCCGCCCTCAGGGAACGGGTCCTGGGCCCCCGAGGTTTCCCTGGGACCCAGCCCTCCGTCCAGAGCAGTCTTGTGACGGCCCTGCGCACCGCGGAGGGCCCCCCCCCCCCTGGGGGGCCCGAAGGCAGCAAACACAAGGACATCCTTCGAATCTCGGTCAGGCCTAGGCTGAGGCCAAGCCGTTCCTCGTCCCGAGCAGTTTTGTGACGGCCCCGTGCGCCGCGAGGGAGCCCCGGCGGGGACCGACAGCGGCGAGAGCAAGTTGAGCCAGTACCCGCTTCTTCCAGGACCTTCGGGGGCCCTGGAAACGACGGGGCATTTTTCTCTCTGGTGTCGTGTTGCTGTGTTCTTGCTGGTTCCAGCGCCGTTTTTGTCTTGCTGGTTCCGTCGCGGTTGTTTCGCCAGTTCTTGCTCCAGTTCCACTCCTGGAGCCGTTTTTTGCTGTTCCCGGTCGCTACTTCCTGCCGTTTCCATTTTCAAGAGACGCTTTTTGGAAACGGTGAAAAAAACGGCCCTGCCGTTTCCGGGGCCCACTGAGTCCAGGACCGTTTATTTTCCGCTGATCGCAGGCAGGCCTACATTGGCCCTGGCACAGTGCTGCAACATGAACCGTCGATCTGTTTGCTTTCGTCGCCTTGGGTTTTTTTTTGCCTGGGAGCAGCTCTCGGGCCCCGAGTCTGTCAAAAACGGGCCCGGCCTCCGCGCGTGATTGTTTTTTTTTCATTGTTTTGCCGATCGGCGCGGGCCCTCGCACCCCCCCCTCCCCCCCAAGGAGTAGATCTCGGCTGTTTCTGACGCCTGTTTCGAGCAGGTGGAGCCTCCCCCATGATGGGCGCACTGCTGCAGCACAGTCGCACTAAGGAGAGGCCCAGAGCCAGACCCCCCCCCCTCCCCCCCTCCCAATGTCGAAACGCTGAATCAAAAAACGTTCACCTGTCGTTTGTCCCAGACAAGTTCGGATGCAACTCCTAGGAGGTCAAATTATGATTTTGCCCTGGTCCGAAATCCAGCTTCATCCGGCTGAATCCCGCTTGATCTGGCTTACTCCCGCCTGATCCCGCTTAATCTGGCTCAATCCCGCTTAATCCGAGGCCCACTCCGGCGTAATAGCCCCCCAAATGGGGCTTAATCCTGATTAATCCTTCCGACGATAACCTCCCAGGAGTTTCGGACCGAACGAAAGGGGGGGATAGGGAAAAAGGGGGGTACGAAATCTGCTGCATGCAGCTGGTTCCGGCCCCGCCGCCGGGCCCATTCCTCGATCCCTGGGCGCCTCCTGGCGCCGGGAGGCGCCGGGAAAACCAGCTGCGTGAGCTGATTCTCAAACCCCCCCCTTTTGCTCTCCCCCCCTTTTGCCCGGCCCGACAGTTGCCTCCTAGAATCGGAGGTGGACAGAACCTCCACGTCGATTAAGGAATTGGCCGTTTTCGGTTCGCGAGAGGGCGTCGCGGCCGTCATTTTTGCGGGTCCAGGTCCGTCGGTTTCGGTCCCAGGCCGTTTTCACTAAGGGGAGGTTTACTAGAGGGAGGTTTGTCCACCGCCGATAGAACAAGGAGGCGTCGCTTCCAGAAGCGCTCCAGGAGCGCTCCAGGAGCGTGCCGCGGACGCTCGATGCCGCAGCCGCGGCGCCCGAGGTGCACGCGCTCCCCGAGCCCGCCCGCCCGACGTGTACCTCCACGGCCAGGCTTTGCCGAAGACACCTGCTGGTAAGTCGGGCCTGTCCCTCTACAGAAGGAAACTTCAGGAGTAGTCATAAGATAGTATAGGGACGATGCTTTCACCATTTTGGAGTATTTCAGTTTTTTTTGTTTTCGTCCAAAATCCCCCTGTAGGGGGACAGGCCCGACTTACACCTACTGCGAATCGACGCTATGTGGCCAAACGTTTGGGCACAGCTTGGCCACGCTACTGATCGCTGTTCATTCATTGTTTTGCCGATCGGCGCGGACCCTCGCACTCCCCCTCTCCCCCCCCTCCATGGAGCAGATCTTGGCTGTTTCTTGGCGCCTGTTTCGAGCGGGTGGAGTGTTCCCCAGAGGCAGCACTCTTGCACACAGTAGCACTAAGCAGAGGTCTGGAGCCCCCCCCCCTCCCCTCCCCCTTCCGCCCAATGTCGAAACGCCGAATATAAAAACTCTCACCTCGGATACGTATGTGGCAAAACGTTTGGGCAAAGTTTGGCCAAGTTATTGGACCGTATGTTCCCCCAGCCGCTGTGGAAGCCCTTCGGGGAACACGTGGGGGAGGAAGAGGATGACGATGAGAGGAAGGACAATGGAGGAAGAGAAGAAGGATATGCCTCTTGGGAGCTTCTTGGGTCATCCTTGAGGCCTTTGAGAGCTTTCTGTGGGCCTCTGGGAGGCCTCTTAGGGGGCCTCCTTCGGGGCCTCCTTGGGCCTCTTGGGGGCCTTTTGGGGCTCTTTGAGGCGTTCCTGGCCCGTCTGACGCCGTCGGGAGCCTTCTTGGGGGCCTCTCTGAACCGATTTGGAGCCCAGTTGTGGCGCCTCAGGGCCGCCTTGGAGGCCATCATGGGCGTCTTGGAGGCCTTAAGGGCCGTCTTGAGGCTCTCTTGGGGCCGTCTTGGAGGATTCTTGGGCCGTCATGGTGTCATCTTGAAGGCCTTTGGGGCCATTTAGGGGCCCTCTCAGGCCGTCCTGGCATCATCCTTCAAAAGCCAAAGGAACATCACGGATTTGGGACCCTCCTGCAGGACCTCTTGGAGGCCTCTTGGGCCGTCTTGAGGCCTCTTGGGGGCCTTTTGGGCCGTCTTGGGCCCTCTCGGAGGCCTTTTGTTCGAACTTGGACGTATCTTGGACTCTCTCGCTCCATCTTGGCCGTCTTGGAGGCCATCTTAGCCGTCTTGGAGGCAATCTTGGCATCTTGTGGCATCTTGCCAGCCACCCCGCCCGAATTTTTCCGGGTGGCCGGCGCAATGAGCCGACACCCCAGTGGGGGTCTCGAAAAGAACCAACATTTTCGAAGAAATCTGGCACGGCAGGCACCACGAAAGATAAGTCCTTAGGGGGGCGGCGGAGGGCGGAAAGCGCGCGCAGCGTCGCGATCCGTTAGCCGGGAGAAGTAACAAGGGGGGGTGAGGATGGGGTAGGAAGCCTGGGCGTCAGATGACGGAACGCGCGCGCAGCGTCGCGATCCGTTAGCCCGGAGAAATACCAGGCAGCCTGGGCCTCAGATCTGATGCCCCAACGTTTCGGCAATGTTCGGCCCAGGACGGCCCAGGCCGGCCCCAAGAGCGCCTGAGAGGCTCCAGGACGGCCCAAGACAGCCCCCAAGAGCGCCCAAGAGACTTCCAAGACGGCGTCGGAGAGGTCCAAGAGGGCCCGAAGACAGCTCAGGAGCGCGCCAAGAGGGCCCAACATGGCTTCAAGACAGCCCACGAGGCCCCAAAGACGCCCAACTATTCCCCAAAGGGATCCCCCAAGAGGCAAACATCGCCCCAGTTCTTTGGGAAAACGTGCATCTCTAGCATGGCATATCCGCTTCTTTGGTTTTCGCAGCGTCCACAACGGCCCAGGAGTCCCCCAGGACCGCCCCAAGACGGCCCCAGAGGCCCCAAGATGGCCCAAGTTGGTGTCAAGACGGCCAAACAGAGCCCCAAGACGGCCCAAGAGAGGTCGCTGAGGGTCCCAAAAGGTTCCCAAGAGAGCCCCAGGAGGGCCACAAGAGGTCCCCGAGGGGACCCGCGAGGGTCCTCGGAGGACCCCAATGCGGCCCAAGCCCGCCAACGGCCCAAGAGGCTCCCGGGACGGCCCGAGAGGGCCCCAAGACGGCCCACACGAGCGCCCAAAGGACCCCCAAGACGGCCCGGAAATGCAACATTCGCGGATTTTCGGGGCTCAAGAGGCGGGGTCCTTGCAAACGGGGGTGAGCCAGGGCACCGGATCCTGCAGGATCCTGCGAAGACCCCCTCTGGCTGACCCGGGTTAGCGAACCGCTGGTGGCCGCGAGGCGGCCGCGCACATTGGCTGACCCCGGTTTGCGAAGACCTGCGTTGCATTTTTTTCCTGCATTGCAGTTCTTGGTTTCCTGCTGACCCGGGTCTGGATGGTCCTGGGTCAGAAGATCCCCTAGGTCTTCCTAGCTTTTTGCTCGCCGTACCGAAGCCTCGACACCAACAGGGCTCTCCGAGACACCGTGAGCCAGCGCCCTCGCGCCCTCACAAAAAGAAGCGCGCGGTCCGTCCCCAGTGTCGAGCAGGCAGCGGAGCGAGCGAGGGGTACGCGAGGGGTGCCGTTGCGGTGGGGCGAGAGGCCCTCTAATTATAGGGAGGGGCCCCCGAGGGGGGAGGGGCGGCGCGCGCGTCTCTGGCTGGCAAGGGCCTCCGAAGGGGCCGTTTCCCTCGTAGTTTTGAGCGGGGCGGCTCAAGTCAGAAGAGGAAAAATCACACAAACTTTTTTGGTCTGCGGGTCAAGAGCGAGCCTCTTCCAGTTACGAGCTAGGCGGGCCGCGCAAAGCACTAATTGTGGAGACAGAGCACAGGCGGGCGGGGCCTCAGGCGGCCGGAGGGCGCGGGGTGCAGGCGGTGCTGAGGAGCTTGCACAGGAAAAGGAACGCCTTGGACAGGAGCCGGAGGCGAAGTCCTGGAGGGTGAGCGGTGTGCGTTGCCGGAAACACAGAGGGTTTTATTGGTTTTACGCCGGAAGGGGGCGTCGTTGAGAGGGTGCCTGGCATGGATGCGGTGATCGGGGTGGCGTCGGTGTTTGGAGCTGGCGGTTTGCGTGGCATGTGCGTTTAGCTGGTCGCATGTGTTTCCGGGTATTTTTGTTTCGAGTGACGCGGCCCAAGGTCCCCGAGACGGCCCAGGAGCGTCCCTTAAGCGGCCCAGGAGGGCACCAGGGCGGCCCCTCTGGAGCCTCGGATGGCCTCCGCAGGGTCCAAGAGAGTTTCGAGAGGGTTCCAGAAGCCTCTCGGAGGGTTCCCGAGAGAGGAGCCCTTTTGGCTTGTCTTGGGGCCCTCGCGGCTGCGAACAAGTCAAGCGACAAGCCGCGCCAAGCCTCGGGAAATATTGAGATTAGATTAGGCAATGGACCAGAGGACACGCCCACTCCTTGCCCAACTGCACGGTGGCGGATCCCCATCATTCATTCGAGTAGGGATCGATTACGTTAGAGTGATGGGGGCTGAACCGAAAGGTCATTCAGTGTCCCTGGGTGCGTGGCTGACGTGGAATTCCGCGATGCGGATTGTTGTTGTTGCTGCTGCTGCTGCTGCTGCTGTTGTTGTTGTTGTTGTTGTTGTTGTTGTTGTTGTTGTTGTTGTTGTTCGTTGTTATTTGTTGTTTATTGTCGTCGTCCCGCCCGCGACCCAAACCGCGCCCGCGACCCACCCGCGACCCACCGCGACCCACCCGCGACCCACCCGCGACCCACCCCGCGACCCACCCAAAATTTTCGGCGCCTGCGGCGGGCTTGTTTTGCATTCGTTCGAGGTGGAGAACCTGCGACCCACCCGCGACCCAAACCGCGTTCAGTGTACAAATCAAAATTTTCGGCGCCTGCGGCGGGCTGTTTGGGAATTCCTTCCAGGTGGAAGTGGAGAGCACGCGACCCACCCGCGACCCAAACTACGTTCACTGAACAAGCCAAACTTCGGCGCTTGCGGCGGGTTTCTTTTGCATCCGTTCCAGGTGGAGAACCTTGGACCCAATCCGCGTTCAGTGTGCAAATCAAAATTGTCGGCCCCTGCGGCGGGCTGTTTTTGAATTTACCTAACAGCGAAGACTGATAGGTTTCTAGTGGTCTAAAAAGAGCTCACAGATCACTCCACAGGGGGGTCCGGGCAGGTGTTGGGAGTTGCCGGGCGGGCCTGTGCCGAGCTCGTTTTTCACCAACAGTCACACACTTCGTGCTCTTCGAGTTCCCAGAACTCCATTCCCAGGCCACATTCTGGAGGGCCGGATGCAACAGTCACACACTTCGTGCTCTTCGAGTTCCCAGAACTCCATTCCCGGGCCACATTCTGGAGGGCCGGATGCAACAGTCACACACTTCGTGCTCTTCGAGTTCCCAGAACTCCATTCCCGGGAATTTTTCCCGGGAGCCCGGAGCCAACTGTAGGCCACTTCGTGCTCTTCGAGTTCCCAGAACTCCATTCCCGGGCCACATTTTGGATGCCCGGAGCCAACTGTAGGCCACTTCGTGGTCTTCGAGTTCCCAGAACTCCATTCCTGGGCATGATTTTGAATGCCCGGAGCCAACTGTAGGCCACTTCGTGTTCTTCGAGTTCCCAGAACTCCATTCCCGGGCCACATTTTGAATGCTGAGGCAGGCTGAGGCTGAGGCTGAGGCAGGCTGAGGCTGAGGCAGGCTGAGGCTGAGGCCGAGGCTGAAGGCAGACTGAGGCTGAGGCTGAAGCAGGCTGAGGCTGAGGCTGAGGCTGAGGCTGAGCAGGCTGATGCTGAGGCAGGCTGAGGCTGAGGCTGAGGCTGATGCAGGCTGAGGCTGAGGCAGGCTGAGGCTGAGGCCAAGGCTGAAGGCAGACTGAGGCTTTGGCTGAAGCAGGCTGAGGCTGAGGCAGAGGCAGGCTGAGGCTGAGGCTGAGGCAGGCTGAGGCTGAGGCAGGCTGAGGCTGAGGCTGAGGCTGATGCAGGCTGAGGCTGAGGCAGGCTGAGGCTGAGGCCGAGGCTGAAGGCAGACTGAGGCTGAGGCTGAAGCAGGCTGAGGCTGAGGCTGAGGCAGGCTGAGGCTGAGGCTGAGGCAGGCTGAGCTGAGGCAGGCTGAGGCTGAGGCTGAGGCTGCTGAGGCTGAGGCTGAGGCTGAGGCTGAGGCTGAGGCTGAGGCTGAGGCTGAGGCTGAGGCTGAGGCTGAGGCAGGCTGAGGCTGAGGCTGAGGCAGGCTGATGCTGAGGCAGGCTGAGGCTGAGGCTGAGGCTGATGCAGGCTGAGGCTGAGGCAGGCTGAGGCTGAGGCCGAGGCTGAAGGCAGACTGAGGCTGAGGCTGAAGCAGGCTGAGGCTGAGGCTGAGGCTGAGGCTGAGGCTGAGGCTGAGGCTGAGGCTGAGGCTGAGGCTGTGACTGCGACTGCCGTTGCCACTGCGACTGTCATCGCGAATGCGACTACGACTGCGAGAACAGCAGAATTCTACAACTGGATTCTCATCCGAATCTTAAGGGGAATGCTTCCAGATATGCTCCTACACATCGCTGTTAGGTTGCTTTGCCGGGATAATCCTTCCAGGTGGAGGCGGAGAGCCCGCGACACACCCGCGACCCAAACTACGTTCACTGAACAAGCCCAAAATTCGGCGCCTGCGGCGGTCTGTTTTTGCATTCGTTCCGGGTAGCCCACCAGCGATCACCCCCGCGCTGAACTGGTTAGAGCACGCAAATCACGAGAAAGAGGAGGAGCAGGGGGAGGAGGAGGAGGAGGAGGAGGAGGAGGAGGAGGGCGCCATCGACAGGGAAGGTGAAGGCCACGAGGTCCGCCGGCTCGACGCCCGCGTCGCCCGCGCCCGCCCCCTCACTCCTATGCGAATTGCGGGGTGCTACGTCGAATCTCAGGCGAAACGCCCAGCCGACCTTTCCGACTCGCTTTTGGGTGCGATAGAGCGGAGCTATCTTTATAAGGAACAAGTACGGGTGGGGAAGGAGGAGGAGGAGGAGGAGGAGGAGGGGGAGGAGGAGGAGTACGAGGATGAGGATGAAGAGGAGGAGGTGGATGGGGGGAGGAAGAGGAGGAGTAGGAGGAAGGGGAGGAGGAAGAGGAAGAGGAGGAGGAGTAAGAGGAGGAGGAGGAGAAGGGCGAGGAGGAGGAGGAGGATGTGGACGATGCTGATGATGATGTTGCTGCTGATGATGATGATGATGATGATGATGATGATGATGTTGATGATGGTGATGATGATGATGGTGGTGATGATGATGCATGATGATGCATGATGATCATGATGATGATGATGATGATGATGATGATGATGATGATGATGATGATGATGACCATGATGATGATGATGATGATGCTGATGATGATGATGATGATGATGATGAGGATGGGGATGAGGATGATGAGGATGATGAGGATGATGAGGATGAGGATGGAGATGGTGATGGTGATGATGGTGGATTGCGATGGTGGCGGTGGTCGTTTCTTCCCCCGCGCTGGCCCACGAGCACTGAGCACTTGTGCAAGTGCCCTCCTTCCCCACGCCGGCCCTGCCTCCGCTCGCCTTTCATCCTCCGCGATGATCAAGAAGATGATGATGACGATGACGATGACGATGACGATGACGATGATGATGATGATGATGATGATGATGATGATGATGATGATGATGATGATGATGATGATGATGATGATGATGATGATGATGATGATGATGATGATGATGATGATGATGATGATGATGATGATGATGATGATGATGATGATGATGATGATGATGATGATGATGATGATGATGATGATGATGATGATGATGATGATGATGATGATGATGATGATGATGATGATGATGAGGAGGAGAGGAGGAGAGGAGGAGGAGGAGGAGGGAGAGAGGAGGAGGAGGAGGAGGGAGGAGGGAAGGAGGAAAGGATGAGAGGATGAGAGGATGAGAGGATGAGGATGAGGATGAGGAGAGGAGGAGGGGGAGGAGGAGGAGGAGGAGGAGGAGGAGGAGGAGAGGAGGAGGAGGAGGAGAGGAGGAGGAGGAGGAGGAGGAGGAGGTGGAGGAGGAGGAGGAGGAGGAGGAGGAGGAGGAGGAGGAGGGGGGGGGAGAGGACGGACGAGGGAGGGAAGCCCCTCCGCGGCGCAGGCGCGGGCCAGCTCGACAGCTACGGGCGCTTCGCGGTCGGCGCCGCAGCCCTGTACTACACCGGCATGCTGCTG